TCTTTGTGTGTGATGTATGTGATGTGATGTGTATAATGGTGTGTGTGTATGTGTGTAAGTGTGTTGTGCTTATACATTCATGTACAACATCATACATGTGGAAGACACAGATCAATCTCTCAGGCTGCCTTGTCATCCACCTTGTTTGAAGCCATGCTAGGCAGACCACAAGTCTTACAATATTCTCTGTCTCTGTCTCTTGGATCACTGGAAGAGCTCTAATATCCCACTCAGCTTTTTGTGGGTTTGAACTCTGGTCCTAATGCTTGCATGGGACACATGGAATTATCTCCAGCTCACATATCACATTGTGTGTGTGAGAACAGTTAGTAGCCTGCTCTTCACACAGTAGGTATTCAGTAATAATTGTCTCTCAGTCTGATCCCTTACCTATGAATCCACCACTCTCTCTTAGAGGGGCTGAGATCTTGGTACTTCATTTATGGAGTTGTCATTATACTTCAAGCCTTCTTCCTCATGAACAGATTTTTTTCACATCCTGATACATATATTTCTCCTTGAGGCTATGTCAGTTAAGATTTTTGTGTAGATCATGAATACTTTCATGTATTTACTACATGTACTTTATAATTATTTAAAATATTAATTTTAATTTATTGAAGTAGATTTGGCTTAAATTTTTTTGAGACACAGCCTTTAATCATTCTCATCTTTGCCAAATGATTTAGACTAACTAAAACTGACTTTCCTTAGCTATAATACATGAATAATAAAAGGCACCACATAAGGTAGCTATACTTAGCTTATGTTTAGCTTTGGCTGTCCTGGAATTCACAATGTAGACAAGGCTGGGTTTAAACTCATAAAGATCTGCCTGCCTCTGCCTCCTAAATGCTGAGATTAAAAGTCACCACACCAAGTAAGTTAAAAATTATTAAGAAGCAAAAATCAAGCCAACAAATGTTAATAAAAGATGAGAGTAGAGGAGGAAAATAGAAAAAAAGGTAAACAGAAGCAAAACTACTTATCCAATTTAAAGATAAGTCAGATGTTATTTCATTGCTTTTTGTTTGTTTGTTTATTTTTCAAGACAGGGTTTCTCTGTATTGCTTTGGAGCCTGTCCTGGAACTTGCACTTAGACCAAGCTGGCCTCAAAATCACAGAATTCGAGGGAATGAAGGCTTGTGTCACCAATGCAGGGCTCTTATCAAAAATTATACTGTACTAGTCGTTTACTGAAAACCTCTATGTCTTTCTTTCTCAATCAGGGCAAAACTACATATCACAATCACCTGTAAGAACTTCACAGGCCCTGGCCCAGTGTGTCATTCTGAATTGCAGGCACTGTTTTCAGAACACCATTTTTGTCACACTTCACTTTTCTGCTGTTGTGATAAAATACTGAGCAAAAACAACTTAAGGAGAACCAGGTTTATTTGGTTGACAGCCTAGAGGCCATCTTCTGGAGAAGCAAAGGCAGGAAATCAAGGCAGTCACCTAAAGGTGGGAGCTGAGACAGCTCCATTGGCCATGGCCATTGCTAACTGGCTTGTTCAGTTACCTGCCTTAGAGAGTCCAGGTCCACCTACCCAGGAATAGCACTGTTTAGAGTGTGCTGGGCCTTCCTGTGCCAATTAGCATATAAGAAAATGCCCTATAATATGCCCACAGGCAAATCAGATGGAGACAGTTCCTCAGCTGGGGTTCTCACTTCTGGGTTGTGTCAGGTTGATAACAAAACTAAACGAGCTGACTTTTAATATCTTCTTGAACATTCGTAACCATAGGGCATTAGCACTTGGTATTCTAGCTTCAGACAGCTCTTGCCTAACAAATCTACCTAGTATCCCCAATCAATCTTTTTGATGGGTCTCAAATATTCCAAACATCTCCCAATCTCTCCTACAAAAAAAAAAAAAAAAAAAAAAAAAAAAAACAAACGCATATGTGGTAACAGGTGTTCACCTTACCTTGTTCTAATCTGTTACACTCATCCCAGGGTGATACTGCATATGTTTATGTTCTATTCCCCCCAGGACTTTTTGTGACCTGTTGTATGCTGCATATTTACAACAGTAAATAATACATGCTCAGAAAATGTTTTAATCAGTGGCTATTTCAGTCACAGCTACAGCACTGAGAAGCTTATTAGTATTATGTTCTGATGAGAATGAAAAAAAAACCCTAAAATGAATACAAATCAATGTAAGAAGTTGCAGAAAACTTAGATTAGCTTAAAACAGCATAATATGTTAAATGCCTATTTGTTAATCACAATAATGAATGGGAAGCTAGCAAAACAGCTCATTAGAAATTGGTTTTGATTAAAGCACTCCAAATTTGCCTCAGTAATAAGAAATATGGGAATTATATAATTCCTATAACATAAAGAAGAATCGTTTTAAATTCTTTTAAAAGATAAGATCTCACACAATAGTTCAGGCTGACTTTGAACATATTATTTAGTCCAAGTGCCAGGGTTACAAGAATGAGCCAAAGTGCCTGGCAGGATCAACATTAATATTACAAATAGAATTTTATAGAAAATTTAACATGTGAAATTGTCAAACCTTCTTACTTAGTGATATATTTTCTCAACACAACCATCTTTCTCCTTCAGCATTGTTCTAGTGCCAGTAATGAGGTAGAGATACCTTTTGTCACTATCTTGTTATGGACATAGAAGAAAGGCATGAAGCCAAGACTACCCCCTTCCTGTGAGTGGATTCTCAGCTGCTGTTTTCTCAAGCCAAGTTGACTGGCAGTTTGGTACTTTCTACTTCACCATCCAGACCCGTGTGATGGAAAGTGAGTTTTAAGTCCAATGGAAGTATACAGCATTATGTAATCTTGCACATAGTCTGTACACTAATAGATCCTCATCTCCCTTTCCTTGTCGGAGCGAGAATAAATATAAAACTCAGAAGAATGTCAAAGAATTGCACCTAAAATGCTACACAGCTGTTTTCCTACAGTCTCCCTTTTAAATGTCAAATGTAGCCCCACAGGAATTCCTGTCAGGGATGCAGATTTATGTCTCTGGGACACACTGAATCACAATCTAGATGTTTAACAAATTTCCCAAATGATTCTGGAGCACATTAACATTCAGAAAGAACTAATATATCCAATAACTTGGGAAATGACAATTTTTCACATCATTTTCCTTTAATTTTCTATAGGTTAATTAAAAATTCTATTGCATTTTATTTTTACTTTTAATTTACAGTTTGCACATGTTTGATGAGGTCAGAGGACACTTTTAAGGGATCTGTTTTCCATAGGGCTTTGCAGCAGGTGCTTTTATCTACTCTGCTATCTCTTCACAGTTCGTATTTATATTTTATATGATTCCTTTTTGCCTGTGACCTCACTAGCCAAGCTTTTGTCTAGTTCTACAATTTCAAGTTTGTATTCCTCCTAATTTTCTAATCCAGTCAGGAAGAGGTTGATTGTCCTCAGAATATCCATGCCCCTACTGCACTAGTGGACATACCATCTGGAGTAGCTCAGTGTTTACAGCTGTGTGTGATCGCTAATGACTTGTTTCCTCCAACAGCCTGCACAGCACACCCTGCCACTATGAATACCAGTGAGCAGTAAAGAAACTGGCAGCTCTGTTTTGACTTAACATTTCTCCCCAGCCCCCAGTTATTTATTTATTAATTTTTCAGAGACAGGGTTTCTCTGTATTGCTTTGGAGCCTGTCCTGGAACTTTCTCTGTAGACCAGGCTGGCGCCAAACTCACAGAGATCCTCCTGTGTCTCTCTCCCTAATGCTGGGATTCAAGGCATGTGCCACCAACTCCCGGCTCCCATTTCCCCTTAAAATGACTCTGTTCCCGTAACAGGCTGTTATGAAGGATGGAAATGGTTTCAGTTTATATATGGGTGACATAAACAAATAAAAGCCAGTCACATAACTCTAAATGGATGTTAGTTTCTGGGTGCTAAATATAAGAATTCAGCTGTTCTATGCTTAAAGATTATTAATTAGAAATTTCAGTAATGCCATTATTCAGCAAATTATTATTGTGGCTATTACATTTCAAGAAGTAGGGAAGGCACTAGAGACTGAAGCAATGGTTAAGAAAAGGCAACTCTGTTGTTCTTATAGCACGAGGAGGACCCATGCTATCTCACAAAAGTTATAATACTGAGTCATCATCCATGTTTGTCGTTAGAGGTGCAAGATGAAATAACAAAATCATAGGCGAGATGTATTACAGTAAGGATGGCTTGGCAGGACTTTCTCACATCGATGTGTTTTTCAGCTTATTTGCAAGATCACTGTATTTTATCACGATGTAATATACTTTTTGTGGTTGCTTCGAAGTTAGAAAAACTGCTGGCCCATTGCTTCCAGTTTAAATGATATTTTTCACGGCCCTGTTTTGGGGGTAGGGGTGAGGGTAGGGGTTGGAGAATGCTGCCTTGACACTTGCCCATTTACTGGTACTAATTATCTTGTCACAATGCTTTAGAAACATACATCTTAAGACAAATGCATGACAGAACAATTGAATTCCATGTTAGTGAGATAAGAGAAGCTAAAATTCCTTTTTGGATACTGACATTCTGAGCTCGTGGAACTTACTGGGGAAGCCTGGGCAACATCAATTAGGCCCTAAACCTTTAGTGTGGAAAACAGGTTCCACCAAACCAGATTGTTCCATAATGATTTTTAAGTACCGAAAACACAATATTTTGAGAAAGGAAGACTCCCATATAAGGCCCCAGGGAGTCTTGAATTGTCTATGTAACTAAGGCTGGACTGGACTCACAGTGATCCTCCTGCTTCCGTTTCCCCCGTGAGGGGTTACTTCACCCTGGGCTTCACTTTATAATCTTCTCTATGCTGGGCTTCTCTTTAGAGCGGATCGACCTATTACTAGCCTCTCGTGTACATATATAATCCACCTGTGTAATATACTTCCGATCATGCCTGAGCCCACAACCAAGTTGGGTAGTGGATTTTCTGAATTAAACAATGTGTTAACAGGAACCTTCTCTTGCAACCCCTCTACTCACTACTCACCGGTTCCTAAAGTAGTACTGAGTTTCTAGAAACGACGACCGAGCCTGAAGCTTGGCTAAAGTAGCCATGGCCTCCAGGCCTGGGGTTTACTGGAGTTGTTACTAGGGGTCTCCATGGCAACTGGGCTGAACCAAGCGCACTTCCGACTTACTGCCCTTCCCTTCCTCTCTGCCGCAGTTTCAGGCACCCCGACAGACGGAGAATTCGGATTTTTAATTTTTTTTTTTAGACGTGTAAACCGACTCAGCCGTCCCGTTCCTTTCTTCTCCAGAGCTACTAAGAGGGCTGACGGGGTCACCCCGCCGAAGCGCAGGGGAGCGAATGGTCGCTTCCGGCTTCCGGTTTCCGCCTCCAGCCCGTTTCCGGAAGTCTCTCTCGAAAATGCTGTAGTGCTGTGTGCCAGTGGCCGGGGCCGCGGGTCTTGGAGTCGGTCCTCGGGTCTGAGCCTCGAGGCCGCGCTCCCGGGTATCGTTGATGTTCGGGGCCGCCGGGCGCCCAGCGATCGGAGCCGCCGCCGCCGCCGGGAAGAGCTGGTGAGACCGGCGGGCCGCTGAGGACAGGGCGGGCGAGCAGGCGGGCGGCCCCACGGGGCTCCAGGACCAGGGACGTCAACCGTGCACTAAGTCCCTCCAGACCCGGTCCCCGCTGCCCCCGCTAAACTGCTCACTTTGTACCCGATTCCACGAGTGAACGGAGTTACAGAAACCCACAGTTCTGGAAGTTTCTTAGTGGGAGAGCTGCGAGGCTTCCCACACTCGTTGCAAGCTCGGTTCCCATAAACGCTAGCAATGCTCCACCACCTAGAAGGTTCTGTCCTAGTTGACGAGAGATGGGTGGTGTCCGGCAGATTTAAGTTTGGGTTGGAATTGGTCTTTAGTGGCCATGGCCTATTGCTCTAAGTTTTCAGAATGCTTTTGCAAATCACACTTTATCCTTATGGCATCCCTGCGATAAGAGGCAAAGTGTTCCTCTGCCTGTGAGTGCTAGGTTTGGATTTTCTAGTTGAAAGCCCTGGTAGCCCACCCTTCCCCGACCCCATTTCTTCCAAGGCCTTTCTTTGCACATAAACATAGTGACACAAGAAAGTTGATATCCTACCGACAATCTTGAAACGTAAAATCTGACCAGTAAGTCAGAGAAATATGATTTTAAAGCCAATGCCTATTTCCAGGGTCAGAGAGAACATGAGGCATTCTGATGGGCTGTACTATCAGATTCTTTTGCCTCACCTACAGCTGAAAAGTTAAAGGAATATCTTACATGCTACAGATCATTTTTTTTTTTTTTTTTTTTAGCGAGTGTCAGTTTTCTTGTGACTTTTAAGTTCTCACAGCTCTCAGATAGTGAAAAAAGAGAGTGCTTTTTAAAAATGAGTAATTTTAATTGCTGTAATGAGCTTGGAATAAGAGTCATAGTTCTTAATGTGTTAATTTTTATAAGTCTTGTACATGGAGGAACCACTACACTTAAATATGGTAAACCGACTTCCCAACATCCTGGTGTTTCCTCTCAAGTGTACTTTCACTATATGGTATCTTGGAAAGGAACAGAGGTGAAATGTGCTCTCTAGATTGGTCTGGTCTCACTGGAGATGAAGGAATTTGTACAGTAGTTGACAAAACAAACCACCTGTGACCCTTTTCCCTCGTGTTCCACTTTCCATCTCCTGCCAAGCAGATGCCCCTGTACATTACTCATCTATTGAATGGAATTTACTTGCTGGACTCCTGACTTGACAGGACAGTCTCATTTCTGATGAGACAGTAGTGTCCTTAGCACCTTTTGGTTTGTGCTTTTGAAAGAAATTTTCAAAATCTGTCCCGGTTGGCAGAAGAGATGTGAACCACAAAGGGGGAATCCTGTATCTTCTCGTCTACATGCACAACTCTGCAACCGCTCAGTCTTCCTCTCCCTCCTCCCCTCCTTTTTTCAACACTCTCCCCTTTTCCTTCCCCCTCCTCTCTTCTCTCTTTCCTGGGCCTGTTTGAGTTCTGCTCTATAGCCTAGGCTGACTTCCACCTGGTGGTCTGCCTGTATCAGCCTTGGAAGTTACACAGTTAGGGATTATAGGCATGCCCTGCCTTGCCCAGGCTTTGGTATTTCTTAATGCAATTTTTTGTTCCATTCATTGAACTGCCTTGCATGATTGTCCTTTCCAAATGTGAAATTCCCAAGCTAATGGCTGCTACCACTGAGTAGTTAATTGGTGTTGGTTCTATCTATGTATGTCATATCATGTAAATTTATGACATGTCATGTACATACAATACATTCTTTACCTTTTAGATAAGCTGACAAACAGAGGTGAAGGTAATTTAACTAACTTATCTAAGTGATTTGTTTGCTCTGTGATTTTAGTGTATATACTTAAAGAAAATCCCTCACCTCCCTAATATACTCTGATATGTCTGACTAATGTAGCATTTTTGGCATTTATGGATTAGAAAAATGCATGTCCAGATTTGTAAACCAACCTACAATTTTGGAGGTAGTCTGTTTTCATTTAAAAGACTGTTTTGTGGCTTTGTTTTAAGAACAGTAAAAAGCCATTAAAATGGATTCTGGACCTTTGCTTCTGAAATTTCCTTCTTATTTGGTTGATTTTCATTATACCTGGAAAACTATATAATAAAAACTGCTTGTTTTGAGTAGCTGATTTTTTTTGCTGGGGGGGGGGGGAAGGATTGGTTTCCTAAACTGTTAGGCGTTCTTTATTCAGCATACTCCCTCAGTTAAGATCAAAACAACAGAAAGTCTGATTTGGGGCAAATAATTTTGGGGTAGCTTCTTAACATTCTTGTATGTCAAGCTGGAAGCCTTCAAGTTACTTTGATAATTTTGTATTCGTTTATGCCTTTACTTAAACTATTAGAAATACCTCTCTTAAAATCCATATTGTCTGAAGATTTTAGTAAAATTACATTTACTGAGTCAGTCTTCGGATTGTATACCCTACATATTCTTATCATCTGATTATTGTTAAGCAGTATGGTAGGTACTCATATTTAATCTTTAGCAGTTTTCATATTACTAATCTAGAAATTCAAGATATGTATTTTGTAAATATTTACTGTGCAATTATCATGTATAAGCAATAACCAAGCCATTTCTTACCCTACCAAAGCTTGTTGACAGAATGAATTACTTTTTAAATTCAAAATTTTTCTAGTTTTTGACTTAGACTCTGATTGCATTTCATTTAGCTATTTTTTTAAATGAATAATTGACATTTTGAAAGTAATTAGAGGCAATGAGAAATGACTTGAAGTTAGTCACTAAATGAAGTAACAGAAAATAAAATAATGGCCTCTGGGTTTAAGAAATGAGCTCATGTTATTAAATCATTAGCTAAAAAGTATAAGTAGACTTAGACTTCATTTTTCCTTTTTTTTTTTAAACACTTAAAGGTTAACCAACTAAGTTCTTAAAAAAATTTCTAGGATAAAGAGGAAAGAAAGTTTTCTCAAGTGTTTCCTGTGCCAAAGTGAGAAAGCTGCAGCTTCCAGCAGACCCCACAACTGGATACACTCAATGGAGCTTTGGCATCCTTACTTGGAAAGGATTCTCCTGCTTGTTGAAAACTTTGTGATTCTTACCTGGGCTCTTTAATCCTCTTGTTGTTCACTTCTGTGTATTAGAGCAGGAATCAGATGCACTGAAGATGGGTTCTCAACCCTGTAGCCCAGAATAGCCCAACATTTGATGGAATTCTGCCTCTTCGGTGCTGAGACCACAGGCATGATCCACCACACCAAGCCAAAAGACAGCATTTCTTTTTGTTCTTAAAAATCCATCTTTTCATTTATGTTCCTGTGTATATGCCAAGGAGGTCATGAGAAGTTATAGGAGCCTCCACCCCACCCACCTGCCTAGCTGGAGACTCGGGGTTGTGAGCTGTGCTACTTAAGAGATGGACATTGAACTTGGGTCTTCTGGAAGAGCACTAAGGATTCTGAATTACTGCTGAGCCATCTTTCCCCCCATGAAGCAGCCTCTTCATAAATGTCTAGATCAAGAGCCATTTCTGTGTTGTTCTGGCAGTTTGGGCATGCTGGCAAGTGTTTTACCACTGAGCCACACCCCTATTGTTCTAGCTTGACATAAAGACTCATTTTGGTAAATAATGTATGTTTAAGGAAAGAAAATTTTAAGTTCCAGTGAGCAGCAGAGCAGCAGGAACTTTTACACTTAACATAATTCTTGTGGTTCGTATTTTTGTTTGCTTAGTCATAAAATATAACCTTTATCCTCGGTGTGGCATCTTTAACCATTTATATGTTTTTTTAACCCATTGCCTACTATTATGTATTCATTTTCATCTGAGCCTTTTGGCTATTTGCTATATACTTGTCAGGCCAAACAACCTTTCCTAGACAGTTTTTTTATTTTTTTAAACTTAAATGAAATGCAGTAACTAAGTTGATATGGAAATAATCGAATTCCGTCACTGTTTTTTTGTTTGTGAGTAGTTGTATACCATACATTCATAAGCATAGTTCTTGACTGTATACTCACATTTATAATATTTATGTAGACCTGTGGGTTGTGATGCCTTGGAGGGTTAAATGTACTTTAACAGGGGTCACATATCAGATGTCTACATTATGATTCTTAGCAGTAGCAATAGCAGTAGTTATTAATAAAATAGTTAACTGAGTTAGGATTGTCTGTTTTCCTGTATTTCCTTTTTCTTCCATCTACTTACATGTATTTAACTGCCACGTGAGTGCTCTTGGATCTAGGATTGGAAGTTCATACCTGTAATTACAGTACCCTGAGGAGAATGGGGCAGGAGGATCATGGCATATGGAGCCAGACCCAGTCTCCAAAGAGCAGGGACAGTGGGGAGGTGCTGTGGGCTCTATCCGGCTCCTTTCAGGGAATATGCAAGCAGGAAGTTAGGATTAAGGGTTGCTTCCTGCTTCTTCCGTAAAATATAAGTAAAAAAAAAAAAAAAGTCTCTTAGTGCCAGTGTTGTTCCTTTAATCCATCTTCCTTTCTAGCATTCATTGGTGAGGAACTCAAATATGGCACTTTATTAATAGTGTCTAAAAAGGACCTGAAAGCAAGCCTGACTGGTGGCCCTAGGTTTTGAAAACAGCTGGCTCATCAAATCTTGGGACATATATTTTGTATTGCTCAGCATAACCCAACACTACCTGACAGGTGCTCATTTCCTTGATAAAATCTATTGTAGTACTAGAAGATCATCACTGAACTGCTGCTCCAAATAGTATTCCCAGTGCTGTTTCCTAAGATTTCATTTGCAAATGAGGATCAAATGAAGAGACTTAACATGAATATAAACATCTCAATCAAGTGGTACATTCACTGAGTTTATATTAATTCATATTAAAACTCTGGCTGTTCAGTAAAACTAACTTTGTACAGAAATGGCTTAGATTTCTTCATTTCTCTTCTATTAGGTAAGATCTTGTGTAAGAAAATAAAAATGTCTAGGATTAAATGTGTTAGTACAGTGGTCTAATGTTTCAGGACAGTTGCTCAAACAAAGGAGATATAAGAGCTATACAGTTGATGCCCTTTTACCTGGAAGATGTAAGTGAAACAATATGATATTAATTGCCTAATATGGTTAGCTCATCTACAGGGATTTTGCTTGGAATTGAGTTGTGGAAAAGTCAGAACAAATTAGGGGTGAAAAGTGATTGAAATAATATTAAATATATTTTTTTCTGTGTATCTGCTCTTTTGAAAGAATCCTCTAAAGTAATTTGTAGTCAGTTTATGCTTTAATGATGCCATAGAATTGACTGGATTCTAGTTAAAGTAGTTTATGTTCTCAAGAGAAACAATAGAAAATTGGGCAATGGTAGCTGAATTTTAATGAGATCTTAATACAATTTGCTTCCATTCTTAGTCATATTGGTTATATTTTGTTAAACCTTTCTAGTTATAGAAATCTTTTTTCAAAAAAAGTTAGGTAACAAGGAGCTGGAGAGCCTATGTCTTCTGGGAAAGCATCTAAGAGCACTGGTGTCTCAGGTCTTCAAAAACCCATGTGCAATTCCCAGGCACTCACTCCAGTCCCAGGGGAATCCTCCAGCACCTCCTTCTGACCTTCTCATGCACTGTGCACATACTTGTATGTAGGCAAAATGCAACACATGAAATAAATGAGAAAATTAAAAAAATCAGTTGCTTACCATTACACATTAAGAACACTGGCATATCCAGATGTGGTGGTTCCCGTGGTGTGATGCCAGCTCTCTAGCTGAGTGAGGAAAGATTTCAGTTCAGGCTTACAGGGTCTACACAGGAAAGTAAGAAATGGTCACCTAGACTATTGCCTTTTCTCTTCTTAGGTGAGGTGCTCTGGACTCAGATGCCAGGGCATAAAACACATATCTGCCACTTAGATTGGGTACAGTGACAGGTCTGTGGCTGTTTCCATTTTGTTTATTACCTGGGGGGTTGTATGTGAATGAAATGAGGCAATATAGTTAGTTAATATTGGCAGGTAATAAATACTCAAGTGTTAGATGATGTATGTAACATTGTAAACAACAAAATCCATTAAATCACCATATATGCTTTTAGGCTTTAAAATGAAAAGTTACAAACTGTTATAGGAAACTTGCTAAAGCTTAAAAGTTTGTAGATGATAGATATTATATGCAGGTATAGAGTATATAGCCCAAGGGTTGGAAAACTGGTTGGATACTACTTGATTTCATTAAAAATGGAAACAAACCACCTTACAGGTCTCATTCATTTATAGCTACTTTTACTTTATAGTGAGGAGTGGAGTGATAAGAGACAGTATGGTTTCTATAGCTTAAACTAATTGCAATCTATCCCTCTGCCAAAAAAGTGTGTTTACCCCCTTATAAACTCTACAAGCTCTAAAGGCTTCTAGCGGACTCTTGGGAATATTTTGATGCCTGTCCACCTTAATTTGAGAGCTGATAGGCCATGATTTGTATAAGAAAGGTACACATCTGAGATACCTAACATTTAAAAATTGTCACACCAACTTATTTAACATCTTTGGGAATTGAATTTGGAAAGTACTATGTGATTTATTAAAAAAGCTTTAAAATGCAACAGTTGCTGATGCCTGCTGAGCAAAAAGACATAGGACAGTTTCTGAATGCATTAATGATGGCCCCCATGGACTGCTGAGGTTCCAGTTTGGATTGAACACAGTTTCTGTATAACTTGTTTGTGAGTGTTTAGTGGCCCAAAGATATGCCCACTGTAAACTAAAGTTAAACTTCTGTAAGCAGTATGGTTTTAGCCATGTGGGCACCATTTGTAATGAGTAGGGTTTTTTCCTCCTGCCGCCTAGTCTTGACCCGCCGCCGTGCCAGCCACAAATAATACACAGAGACTCTGTATTTGATATAATCTGTTGGCTCATTACTAGTTTCTTATTGGCTAGCTCTGTCTTAAGTATTAACTCATTTCTGCTGATCTATGTATTTCTCTTACCAGGGAGACGGCCAGCATACTGCTTTCTCCAGACTCTCCATCTTGGCTCTCCTTACTCACTACTTCCTCTTTCCTCTTTCCTCCTAGTCCCGCCTATCTAGCTTTCCTATTGGCCAACAGTGCTTTATTCATTAACCAGTATGAGACACATATACAGAATGACATCTCCCATCAAACTTCCTTTTTGCATCTGATACACATTTTGGAAATGCCTGCCAGTCAACCTCTGATACTATGGTAGTGAGGAGGTAAAGTGAATGAGAAGTAGAAGGGTTTATGCCTCCTTTATTTAGGAGTTAGTGGTCAGGGAAGAGACTGAGACAGTTTGAAGAAGGTCATTGGTTTTAGAAAAGGGACAGGTGGGGAACAATGACTTAGAATGTTTCCCATGGTCATATAACAGTCATGTAAAATCATGTAAAAGCCCTGAGAATCTGTATGTGTGTGTGTGTGTGTGTGTGTGTGTGTGTGTGAGAGAGAGAGAGAGAGAGAGAGAGAGAGAGAGAGGAAGGAAGGAAGAGAGGGAGGAGGGAGAGAGTTCACCCATGTGGTTGCATGTGGATGGCAGAGATTGCTATCTGAAGGTATTCTTCAATCATTTCTCCACCTTATCTTTTTTGAGACAGAGTTTGTCATTCAGCCCGGAGCTTGCTATTTCCTAACTGGCCAGCCGTCGAGCCCACAGGATCTGCCTGTCTCTGCTGGAGTGCTGGGGATCCAGGTGCGCACCATATCCAGCTTATATGTGGGTGCTGGGAATCTGAGTGTAGATCCTCAGGCTTATGCCACAAGAACTTGACCTGCTTAGCACCCCTCCCCTGCTGACACTGTATTCACCTGTCCTCAAGTGATTTTAATGTTAGGAATCTATCTCTTAAGACAGGGTCTGCAACCTACCTTAGACTGACCTCAAACCTAAGCTTAATTCTTTTATCTCAGTTTCCTCAGTGCTAAGATTATAGATAGGTGTATACCTTCTCACCCAGCCATTCCTGTGTTTAATCAAAGAAATAAAACTTATGCAACAAGTATGTTAAAGAATCAGATTGAAGCTGTCAAATGTTGAATAGTGCAATCATATGCCTTTCTGACCTCTTGTAAAAAATACTAATTATGGCCATATTTAGAATGAAGTGCTTATGTGTGGAAAACTAGGTTAACACCAAGTGACTTTATTTCTCGTTCTCTAAAACATATAGGCATTTCAGTAGAACAATGGAAGAGCTTGTTCACGATCTTGTCTCTGCACTGGAAGAGAGTTCTGAGCAAGCCCGAGGTGGGTTTGCTGAAACGGGAGATCATTCTCGAAATGTGTCTTGCCCTCTGAAACGCCAGGCCAGGAAAAGGAGAGGAAGGAAGCGGAGGTCCTATAATGTTCACCACCCTTGGGAGACTGGCCACGGCTTAAGTGAAGGCTCCGATTCTAGTTTAGAGGAACCAAGTAAGGACTATAGAGAGAACCACAACAATAATAAGAAAGACCATAGTGACTCTGATGACCAAATGTTAGTGGCGAAGCGTAGGCCATCATCGAACTTAAATAACGGTGTTCGAGGTAAAAGACTTCTGTGGCATGAGTCTGATTTTGCTGTGGACAACCTTGGGAATAGAACTCTGCGCCGTAGGAGGAAGGTAAAGCGCATGGCAGTGGATCTCCCTCAGGACATCGCCAACAAAAGGACAATGACTCAGCTGCCTGAAGGCTGCAGAGATCAGGAGATGGACAATGATAGAGCTTACCAGTATCCAGAGTTTACCCGGAATAAAGTTAAAAAAAGGAAGTTGAAAGTGATTAGACAAGGACCAAAAACCCAAGAGGAAGGAGTTGTTTTGGAAAGTGAAGAAATGAGCCAGACCAATAAGGACAAAATGGAGTATGAAGAACAAAAAGTCTCAGATGAGCTCATGAGCGAAAGGTAACATAGTGTTTATTATCTGCCAGTAACATGTTTGTTTGCTTGCTTGTGGCTGAATGTGTTTTATATTTTAATTAATTCTGTTTTAAGATAATTATAAATTACCAACAATGATAGTGCTATTAGTTCCATTTTCACACATATCAAAATTGCTTATTTGATTTATGCAAAATGTTAGTTATGTTGTAACTGTCTTGGCTTTTTGCTACAGAGAGAGAAAGGAAGTGGCTTTTCCATGGGAAAGGATGTACTTTGGAGTCACTGCACTTTAGGTTATCTCATTGTTCGTGGACTTAGGGAGCTTCAGCGTTGGGAACATTGAGACAGTGTAATTCATTATTTTGATTCCTAATGTTCAAAGTTCATACCCTGTGATTTGTGGGGCTTGGTATGTTGATCCATAGCTTGCTAGGGAATTCTGATCACTTATGAAGTATAAAGACCTGATTTATGGTGTGGAAGCAGCTGATTTTGGTTCTTAGAGAAATGGGAATTGTAGCATTCCTGTGTTGGTTGGTTGTCCATCTCAGGAAGCAGGACCACCTCTGTTCTAATAGCCACATGCTCATTGCATGTCATAACGGACATGCCTCTGCCATTTATCCAGCTGCTTGTGAGAGCCACCAGCACTGCTCATCGTGTTCAGCACACCCGCTTCAATTTCTGAGAGCCAGAAAAAAAGGGCCCTGGGGATAGCATGTGATTTTAGTTTGCAGCATTGGCCTCATTATGGTTTTGGTGATTGTAGGCTTTGGATATTTGTATATGTGGGTGTGTTTGTAAGTGTGGCTGCAGTTGGGAGGACCCAGTTGGAGTTAATTTTCTTATTAGAGTTTACTCTTTAGTTTTTCTTCAAAAAGTAAACCAAAGGTAAAGAAGTTTTTGAAGAATGACTTGGAAAGTTGGTTTCTTTCAAAACAGTTATTTTTGTTCAGGAATAGGGTTGCTGTCCTCTGGTGTTGAGTCAATGTGACTGAGGAGCACTCAGACAAAGCAGTCAGTCAGCAGCTCTGTTGCCCATAGCTGAGGGAGTATGGCAGTGCAGTAACATTCTGAGTTCTGGGCCATACGCAAGTCACCTGCTTTTCTGGTTGACTGTAACCCCCCTCCCCCTTTTTGTTTTCTATGTCTTTGTTTTGTTCATCTGCTGTTTACACTTTCCACCCTGAAACCATAATAAGACAAAATCAGCACTCATTTATTTCTTCTCATTGTTCAACAAAAATATCAGGGTCATGTAGGTATATCAGATTTCTCAGTTGTTTACATCTCAGGTACATAGTTTAAATATGCTATTTTAAAATCAAATAAAGTTAACTATATTTCCTCTGATTTAAACTTGTCTTTATACCAGCTTTCTGCCATTTAAGGGCTCAGTGCAATTTCTTCTATGGGAAGGATTGTTACAGAGTGAAGGCATCTTCTGTTTCCAGAGTTTTACATTTTAAGAAGATTTATATTCTTGGGTTTGATTTATAAGTAAAAACTGTGTGTGTGTGTGTGTGTGAGTGTGTGTGTGAGTATGAGTGTGTGTGTATGTAGTATTTGATAACTGCAGCATGCATTGATGGCTCAAAGACTAGTAACACAGACTTTGCCATGCCCTAGTGTGGAATAGACAGACAAGCAAGTATTGAGTTTAGAGTGTGCCATGTGGAAGGTATTTGTAAGTGAAGGCTTCTCAAAGGAACTGTGTCTAAAGCAAGAACTAAGACTTGTTCAGAAAAGGGAGGAATGGAGAGTCAGTAAGGAAATAGCATGACGGAAAGAGCAGCTTGTGTGCAGACACAGACTTACATCAGTGTGGAGTGGAGTCAGCCCATTGCTACTAGGACATAGGGGATCGGGACTGCCGCAGCAGCATTTCCTGAAGGCTTGAGTGCTGTCTGTGTTAGTTTAGATTTCATCATGTAGGCTGTGAAGAAACTTAGGGCAACATAATTTTGGTACTGGTGTTCTGTTTACCTTTGGCTGACCTCAGTCCATACAGTAGAGGGTAGTCTGTCTGCTGGTTGAGGAAGAGAAATACCTGAGAGCTATTTTAAGAGTAGAAATCAATAGGAAGCTGTAGAAGGGGACTTCTCTCCATCTTTTCTGGCCCTAGGCATCCTCACAGCCACTTATGAAATAACCACTCTGAGACTTTATATCAGTTACAGTTGTTTGGCCAATGGCTTAGGCTTCTTATTGGCTAGCTCTCTCTTAAATAAGAACTGATCTCTATCAATCTGTGTTTCACCATGTGGTTGTAGCTTGCCAGTGATGCCTTGACATCTGGTTTCCCTGGCAGCTATGTGGCATCTCCTCTGACCCCACTTTCCTTCTCTTGCTATCTTTGTTTGGAATTCCCACCTAGGTATATTCTGTCTGCTCATTGGCTGAAACAGCTTTATTCATCAACCAATAAAAGCAACACATATACACAGCCTACAGAAGGTCATCCTACATCAGGAAGCTGTATTGGGAAGGGTGGTGCTCTCAAATAATGCCTGGTTTCTAGTCATAGGAAAAAAAAACAACAAACAAAAAAATGAATCACATGGAAAGGGGATTAGTATTAAAGCATGTACACTTGTGGAATATATTCTCATCTGAGTAGTAGTTATACAAACTTTTTTCAAAAAGTAGATCTGTATCCTTGCAGATGAATTGTCATGGCCACTGAGTGCTGGAAATGAAAAAGCCTTTCTTGTTAATTTATTATTCTTACTTAAGGAGCATAGCAACAGGGAAGAGTACATGCAGCAACTGGCTAGTTATCAATAAGGCAGATTAGAATTATTTTACGTGTCCAAAAAATATACCTCAGTATAGAGCAAGGATCATTAGAGACTGGTATTTCAGAATCTAGATTACCACATATCTTGATATTCATTAGGTTGTGGACAGAGGTGAGCTTGCTTTTTGGAGAAAGGACATAAGCAATAGTACCAGACATAGAATGGAAACAATTTATAAGGAGCCCACCCATAGAAAGCCTTGAAATGTAAATTTCATTCCGTAAGCTCAACTAATTATTTTTTATTTAGAAAGTTGTCATCTTAGGTGGTATGTGTATGAATGTGTTTTAAGACCGTTATAAAAGACTACTTTTAAATTTACAGAGACATTACCAAATACTTTGCAGAGTTTGTGCCTTTCCCATTCTCATAGCCGGGGCCAATTTCCTTTTACTGTTATTATTTTACTCTGGTATCTCCACCACAGTTAATGAGTGCAGAGATGTTTGTTGTTTTGGGTTTTTTGTTTGTTTGTTGTTGTTGTTATTGTTTTTTGTTTGTTTTTTGTGTTTGTTTGTTTATTTTTCGAGACAGGGTTTCTCTGTGGCTGTGGAGGCTGTCCTGGAACTAACTCTTGTGGACCAGGCTGGTCTCGAACTCAAAGAGATCTACCTGTCTCTGAGTGCTGGGATTAAAGGCATGCGCCAACACCACCCTGCGAGTATGGATATGTTTTTAGGTTGGTGTTTTATTAGAATTACCATTGGTTTTATTGAAAATGGCTTCTTTCTGTTCTAATGTATTATGTTTAAACTTGTAGTCACCCAGTTATACTGTGAAGAGGTGAATGAACCTGGCTGTGTGTAGGCTAGATTAGGGGACGGTAAATCTGAACCCAGAAGACTGGCACCAGAAAAATAGCAATTGATTCACTGTTTGCAGACTCACTGTGTTTGTACTTAACTTGTATTCAATAAGCTTATTCATTGGTGTAGTTGAGAAATATGGCTGATCTGATTATGGAGTGCTACCCTAGACTTCTGGGCTTATTATAGAATATGCCTTTGTGGAATCTGAGGGATTCTGAATTGTAAGTATTTGTATCTTGGGGGATTTCAAAAATGGAATTGTGCCTGGGATGTGTTTAAGGACTTTGGTTTGTAAGGAAACTGGGAAAGCTGAAATAGTTTGGACCATTATTACATACCTAGTCAAGCTTCTGAGGTGGTTTTCATTTTTATGTAAGACCATCTGTGCTTGTAAATAGGATGGTGTCCGTTCAGCACTTTAGAAATACTATTGCATATTGATTGTATAGGAAGTTTGAAGGAAGTTGAGGAAAAATGCCCTAATTAGAGCTTTGAGGGGAAAAAATGTGTCTCTTGACAAATTCTTATATCTTTCATGAATTTATTTTTGTCAAATTGGAAATTTTGTATGTAAAGAATGTGTGGATTTAAGACTTAACAATGATTGTCATCATAAATAATTTATAATTTTGTAAAACATGCTAATGTGTCTGATTTTTAATAAGCTAGGCTACATTGTTTTATATTTTAATGGATAGATTATTTTTTATTTAGGGACAAAGGTAAAGGTGCTTGCACCAAGCCTGATGCCCTGTGTTTGATTTTCAGAACTCACACTGTAGAAGGAAAGAACTCATAGGTTGTCCTCTGACCTCCATGACCTCCATATACATGTCTCCACATCCCCCCCACGGCCTCTGTATACATGTCTCCACATCCCCCACGGCTTTTGTATACATGTCTCCACATCCCCCATGGCCTCTGTATACATGTCTCCACATCCCCCATGGCCTCTGTATACATGTCTCCACATCCCCCATGGCCTCTGTATACATGTCTCCACATCCCCCATGGCCTCTGTATACATGTCTCCACATCCCCCATGGCCTCTGTATACATGTCTCCACATCCCCCATGGCCTCTGTATACATGTCTCCACATCCCCCATGGCCTCTGTATACATGTCTCCACATCCCCCATGGCCTCTGTATACATGTCTCCACATCCCCCCCATGGCCTCTGTATACATGTCTCCACATCCCCCATGGCCTCTGTATACATGTCTCCACATCCCCCATGGCCTCTGTATACATGTCTCCACATCCCCCATGGCCTCTGTATACATGTCTCCACATCCCCCATGGCCTCTGTATACATGTCTCCACATCCCCCCCATGGCCTCTGTATACATGTCTCCACATCCCCCATGGCCTCTATATACATGTCTCCACATCCCCCATGGCCTCTGTATACATGTCTCCACATCCCCCATGGCCTCTGTATACATGTCTCCACATCCCCCATGGCCTCCGTATACATGTCTCCACATCCCCCATGGCCTCCGTATACATGTCTCCACATACCCCCACCACACACATACAAATACTTTTTTAAAAGACTATTCAGACTAGTGACAATTTCTTGATTGATTAAAATCAAGAATCAAGAGTGAGAAAGTATATAAAAGCTTTTAGAGAACAACACTCAGTTTTCTTAGGGTCCAAGGCTTTCATGACTTGGGTCTTATTTCTTCCTATTTTTACTTACTTGAACTGTCATCATAAATATTGCTTCCAGTAGACTAATAGTGGTTGGTCCTTTCTTTCTTTCTTTGGTTCTTTCTTTCTTTCTTTCTTCATTCTTTCTTTTTTCCCTTCCTTCGTTCCTTCCTTTGTTCCTTCCTTCGTTCCTTCCTTCCTTCCTTCCTTCCTTCCTTCCTTCCTTCCTTCTTTCCTTCCTTCGTTTCTTTCATGGTGAATTTGAACCTGTGTCTTATTCTCCAATTAATGTAGAAGAACCCTTCTTAATAGTGGTCTAAAACCCACTCTGATGCTTGACTTTGGGCTAGCGGACTGCCACCATTACTCCCTCCCTTCTTGTGAACAACGGAGTTGCTGTGACTTGCTAAGAGCTGCTTTTCTAGTTATAAGAGTCATTTCATCCCAGACCATGGTGCTTCTGTCCTGAGGGTGGTCTCATCCTGCTTCTAATGGACACTGCCCTGGCTCTGTGAGCACTGGGGCTTCAGACTCAAGCTGATCACACAGCACAGTGTGAGAAATGAGCAGTGAGCATTTGATAAAAGCAGATAATAGAATGCATCCCTTGTGCCCCCACCTCCTTGCCGTCATGTCTGGCTCACTGTGCAGGTCCCATTAGATTCCTGGAGTCTTACATGACCAAAATAATAAGTTCTATCATTAACAGAACTGGGATATGTGCAGTTTGATTTTTTTTAAAATCTTATTTTCTTTCAGATCTTTGTCAGGCTCAGGTTCCATTTCTGAGCTGCCATGTCTCTTTAAAATTTTAAGGCTGATAGATCAATTGTTCTTTTGATCTGTTTCATTTTTCTCTTTTTCCTGCTTACAGTGACTCCAGCAGTCTCAGCAGCACTGACGCCGGCTTGTTCACCAATGATGAGGGAAGACAAGGTACTGAGATAGTTTTCCCCTCTTTAAAAATTCATTTTAAAGTTGTGCATACTCCTGGCTATTTTATAAGCTGCCAACAGTAACCCTTGGTATTGCAAGTACTGCTTAGTGATTTAACTGGTTTCTATACTTCACTGAAGGTGTCTTGGCATCCTAACCCAATAATAGATGTCTAAAAAGTAGCGTGTGTCACTCAGCTTTGCATACTTCCATGTTTGCAATTTGGTTCCTTTTAGCAAAATTGCCAGACATTGGTTCTATTCTGTAATTGTAAATCTGTGTAAGCATTCATAAGAGTTGATTTACAATGATTTGTCATTTTTATTCAGTTGTTACATTTATACTATCCCATTTATAGTAATTAAATGGTTTTTATTAATTCAGTATTATAAACTGTTAAACAGAACTATTTTACATCTTAGGTGTTTTCTATCCTTCAAAATTCCAGAATCTGTTCACACTTTACCATGACAGTATTTTGAAGCTCTGAACAATTTCAGTGAGGAGTCACACTTGCTTGGACCGATTTCATTTAGGTGCATCAACCCGTAACTCGTTCTCTCTTATTCCTTGAACAAATTATGAAGTTGAACTAACCTTATGTACTTATCACAGAATATCTTTATTTCTTAGAATGCATTATTAGGACTAGGAACGGTAGCTGATACCCTTAATTCTAGCACTTAGAAGAAGCACAGGCAGGCAGGTATCTGAGTTCCAGGCTGGCTAGGGCTACTTAGTGAGACCCTCTCTCAAAAATCAAATCATGCAATGACAAAAAGAATGCAATAGCAGAAACTAGGTTCTATAGAAAGAGACTTGTTTATTTATTGTCTTAAATTATAATCCATTAGTTATTTTTATGGGAAAAGCAGAGTAGATGGCCATTCATTCCGTGCATGATTGCTTGCTTGCGAGACCACAGTCTTTGAAGTTGAGTCTTTATCTGGAATATGTCAGTAGAACTACCTTGGTAATAGATTTAAGTTTTGTTAAAATACAGATCTTACCCAGGTTATAAAGGATGATGATATGATGAAATAAAGCAATGCATTTTCATCAAAAGGGACTTCTTGGCAAGGTTAACATCTTTAGAAGGCACTGGTGTAAGATATATTAACAGTTATTATGACTTTCTGTATCTCACATTGCTAACATATTTTCTAGCATTTAATTTACTTGGTTCTCATTTCACTTCATTTTTTAAAGAACTGTGAGTTTCCAATTTTTATTTTTCAAGTGGGGAACTAATACAGTTGAAATAACTTGCTCAATGTTATAGGAGAATAGATTTTTTTTTTCAAATTATTTTTTGTTTTTTATTAGTAAAGAGTTAACATATTAGGAGAAAAGATTTTTAATTCACCTATTTTATTCCTTGCCCATGCTTTTGATGACTATTTAATTGACTTTCTAAGAATAATGTTGCAATATTATATTATTATATAAATGTAAAGTGATGGGGTTTTTTGTTTGTTTGTTGAGACATGCTCTGTTTGTATCAAGCTAGCCTTTCATTCTTGATCTGTGCCTCAGACTTCCAAGTATAGCAATGGACATGGTGTGTTAATGGCAATTCAGATATAAGGTAGTCAGTATCAAGTGAGTCCCTGCTGAAGTTAATAGACCTGCTAACCTTTAAATTTGTCGCTCCATGCTGGGCAGTGGTGACTCACACCTTTAACCCCAGCACTTGGGAGGCAGAGGCAGGCGGATCTTTGTGAGTTCAAGGCCAACTGGGTCTACAAGCTACACAGAGAAACCCTGTCTCAAAAAAACAAAACAAACAAACAAACAAAAAAAACCCCAAAAAATAAAAAAAAATAAATTATCTCTCCTATGAAATGTCAATATTTGAGTTTTTGTAAATTTTAACAAAGTTTTCACTTATTGCTTTTAATTTTCACTGTTTATTTGAACTAAATCTGTTTGTCATATGTCATTTTCACCTTAAGTTTAGGCAGTTTTTTTTGGCATTGTTTTTGTTTCATGATTACAGTTTCCATTTTAAAATTTTATAGTCAAATTGGAAGTCTCATAAAAGGGAAAACGATAGTGACATACGAAAACTCTTAGGAAAAACCATCAGTAATGGTGGCTTCTGGGGCATCTTAGGAAAATTCAGTGATTCATTTAAAATCTTACCTTTCTCATGTTTTTATAAGTTGTCAACATTCTGCACTTTTATTCTTTTTATCTGTTTAAATCTGAAGACAAAATGTTGATGATCACTGGGGTTAAGTGAAGTTTAAATTGTTATTTATAATAAAGTTACACCTAGGTACTCCATTGTCAATATTAGAAAATAAATGTTTAAATATGTTTCCATGATAAAACTGAATCTTTCGGGGCACTTTTGTTTTTGGACAGGTGATGATGAACAGAGCGATTGGTTCTATGAGAAGGAGTCAGGGGGAGCTTGCGGAATCGCTGGAGTTGTGCCCTGGTGGGAAAAGGAAGATCCTGCAGAGCTGGACAGAAACCTGCCAGACCCTGTGTTTGAAAGCATCCTCAGTGGCTCTTTCCCCCTCATGTCACACCCTGGCAGAAGAGGTCGGTAGTACTGCCTAAGTGCTGGCCCCATCAGCTCCTGTTCTCACCGAAAGAAAGGGTAGACCCAAGTGGGAACAGACTGTACACACAGAATGCTGTAGAGAAGTGTGTTGGACCCCAATCACTCATCCAGGAGGCTTAGAGGAGTGTGAACTGGGAAGAAAGAGTTCTTACTATTGGAGTACCAGCTAGTTAAGTGCTGACTGCATTAGAACCCTGCTGGGAATTACCTCAGGTTTTTTTTTAAAGTGTGTTTCACATTTTCCCCAATAATATTCTTGGTGTTTACCACTAGGAACAACTTAGTTTTAATTCTCTGTTGATAGGATCTTCTTCTATGCTTCGGTGATCACAGCATCTTCTAAATTGCCTGTTTGATTTCCCAGGTTTCCAAGCGAGACTCAATTGCCTTCGTGGAACGCCTTCAAAGAATATTAAGAAATCTGGAGGGGCCCCGCCTTCAATGGTAGGCATGCTATTTTACTGAATTGTCATGTTTGGAAATGTTTTCATTTCTATGGAATAAAAAGTCACATCCTCAGCTTTATTTATATTCTAATGTTGTACTTAAAAATAATCCATTTTTTTGTAGGCTACAAACTGGACCAGTGAGATTCCCCTATAAACCAAATCTTCTATTGCTATTAAATTAGTTACGTTTTGAACACCTGGGGAGTGCCATTCGAGGGACCCTGGCTCCTGTCCTCTTCCCTGGAGGAATACACTGAAGTGCGAGCCTCTTTGATGCAGACTGATGTTTCTTTTAGCCAGAAGTGAATCTGAATGGGGAGGATTCCCTGAGATGTAGGTTGGCCCAGGGTGGATTCAGACTACTGTATATTTTATACATTTTTCTCTCTTATGGTTTTTAACATTGGATCCATTTATGTATTGCTTGCTTTGCCAAATGCTAACAAAGATAGAAAATTGAAAACTATATTTAACCCAAGTATTCCTTAATATTTCTATGACTGGTTAAGATTCAGTTTTTAACCTGATATGTAAATAAAAAATGATGTATTACCATTTATGGTTCATTTTAAAAAAGTCTTCTATACCAGCATTATTTAAAATACTTGTGTTTTACTCAGGGTACAGCCTATTGTATTTTATACTATAGTTTTCATTGTACTGCAAAAGTCATCCTACCTCTAAAACAGCACGGTGATGCCAAACTAGTCTACATTAGGTAATCACCCTGCTGTCACATTGTCATTGGTGTGTGTCTGATCCCTGAACTGGTCACAGCTGCCTCACTGTCTCCGAGCTTAATGAAATCATGTGAACCTGGTGTTTTAACAATACTGCATGACTGAATCTCACTGTCACGTCTACAGCGAGATGCTTGTTCATCCTTGGATGGCAGTCCATGTGTGCCACTGAGTTTTAGAAATACTTTTTAAGCTTATTTTCATCAAGCAGGATGGAAATAAAACATTCCCATTGGTGGCATAATTCTTATGATGTTATTTTTAATGATTAATATTTTTGGTGATTTAATGTTTTCGTATTGTATGGCTTAGTTGTCATTTCATCATTTAATGGCTAAATTAAATATGATGGAAGGGAAACAAAATTGACATTACCCTACCTAAGATTATTGTGGTCTGAAAAATTTTAAAGTAAGTAGGAATTATGACGAGAGCTCAAAGATGACACAGTACAAGTTGGCCCTTTCTACTGTCCCATATAAAAGCTGCAGTGATGTACTTAATAACTGTAATAAGAATTTTTATACTGTCTTAGAGCAAAACAATTTTTTTTTTGAATTACAGAAATGCTTTTGTTTTGTAAGCTGAGTGTCCTTTAGGTCTGAATAAGTCACTTGAATGCCTCAGCCTATGAACTTTGCCTCAGCAATCATGAATCTAGATGAATACTATCTAATTCTTGGCTCAGCTTTACCTATTTTTGTTTTTGCTCCACTGCTTGCTTGAGCATAGCTGGGATTTGTAGCCCATTTTCTAGGCTTACTGCAGCCTCGCTGTGCTGTTTTATAGAAGCTATTACAACTGATAGACTGGCTTCATGGTGGTGATGATACATGGCTGCGTCATCCTCGAGCTGCCTCCCTCTAAATTGTGAAGCAGTGATTAGGCTGCACTTCATGGAGATTTCTATACATGTGTGTTTAACATGGGGCGAGCACAATATCCCAATAGCCATCGAGTGTTCTCCATGTTCATTTTGCTGTATTCAAAATTCTACTGAAAACAGGGGACTCCTTAAGGTTTTTTTCTGTCAACCCTGGATTGTCCTTGTTTATATTTTTACATACTGTATTTTTGTTTCCAATAAAATCTCTGACTTGAGAGCGAGAAAGGTAAGATTTTCAGTTTGTGCTGATGTTTCTAATTCTGTTTTTGCTCATAATGTACGTAGCTTGCTACCTTAAAAATTTTAACCTGCTAAGACAGTCATCATTAAAGGTCGTCCATTAGTTCTTTTTTTAAAAAATTTATTTTATATAACCAAGTCCATTTAAATGAAAACAAACATTTATAGACAATATTTGGGAATTTGGGCATTGTTCTTTCCAAGCTACTTCCTGCTGGTAAGGGGCGCTGTCATGCGGGATTCTAAGAAGATGCAGAAATCCTGGCTGTAGTCTGCATGGTTGCTTTGTCCAGCTGCTTTGAATGTAGGATCACCTGGTACTCTGTTTTAGGTGGTCTGGCTTGATCAAACCACATTAGTCTGTAAGGAATCCATATCTTTTCATTTTCTGTAGAAACAAAAATAGAAATCCTTTTCCCCAGTAACTTGTCCTTGAACTTAAATTTTGGAGTCAAAGCATTTTTTTTTTTAATTTATTATTATACATGTTGATCCCAGTTTCCTCTCTCTCCCTTCCTCCCTCCCTCCCTTTCTTCCTCCCTCCTTCCCTCCTTTTTACCCTCTCTGCCCTCTCACATGCACTCTAACCACCCTCCCTTCCCATCCCCTCACCCCAATTTCTTATAGTAAGAAACTAATTTCAGTTAGCATAGATTGACACTGGAAAGCCAAAGTGTACATAAGAAAGACTCATTTTAGGACCAAATTCCAACTGTGTAGATGCAAATGCAATCCATTAAGCAGAATGGCAGCAGAGGGTCTTAGTGGGTAGGTGACACCTACTCACATACAGTGATGGAGTGCATGTGCGGAAAGGACTAAAGTATAGGCCATTCAGTTATTGCCTGCATTCCTCACACACTTGTTGAGTGAAGTCACTGTACTCATTTAGGGTGTCAGAAGCCATTTCTCCTGCAGCAGATGCACGTTCAGGTTGTGTGGGGGTCTTGGGTCCTCATGTCCTCATTAGCTGTTGACTGAATAAAGTTGTGTGTGTATTTATGTTTAAAGGTGTTTACTGTGCATTGTTGATTCCCAAACACGGAATTATGGGTAATAGCACCGTCACCGAAGTCTGAACAAACTTCTCTAACATGTGTTTTCACCATAAGGCTCACTATGGCCTTTTCATGCTTAGTAACAATGGCAAACTCCACTTTCAGCGTGAATTTGGGGCCATTGAAAGCAGTAAAATCACCAAATAAAGCACAAAACTTCAACAAACCAGTCCTCAGTAGATCACACAAAGGACCCTTGTTTATAGAGCCAGGGCTGCAGGACGGAGGCCGAGTGCTTGTTCTTTCCTCTGGAGTGCTCCTTCCTTCCCCAGGAAGCTCAGATTTTTCACTGCTCTGTGCATGCCCATGAATATCTGCAAAAGTTCTGAATATTGGCTTTCAGGTTGCAAATACATTTTAACTGGTAATAATTTTTCAAATTTGGAATCTGCAAGGCTATGTATTTGTGGAAAGCAGAGTGGTCACATGCCAGATATCCTGCATATCAGATACATTATGATCCAAATCAGCAGCAAAATTGTTATGTGTTATGAAGCAGCAATGAAATAATTTTATGGTTGGGGGTCTCTATAGCATGAGGAGCTGTACTACAGGACTGTAGCATTAGGAAGGTTAAGAACCACAGTTTCTTTTGTGAACTAGAGACATTTTTTTTTTTTTTTAATAGAAGTGCTGTCAGTCTTAAAAGAGGTTAAAGTACATATATAGGCTTAGGTCCATCTTCAGCACATAGTATATAATAAATAATTGCTGTTATTGAAGGTAATAAACACAATAGCTGGTAATGCAACTTAATTTTAATCATGAATCCAGGTGTAGAATTTGACTTTAAACTTTTCATGTTTTTATATATGTTATTATAATTTGACATTACCTTAGTAGAGTGCTTTATTTTTATAGGATTTAGGTTTCTTTTGTATCTTACTTCTGTTTGATCTGACTTTTGCCTTTAATGTAGTCTGAAGAATGTTTCTGAGTAAACTTTTAGAGATCAGTTCTTAAGCCTCAGAATTGAACTTCAAGGTGTAAAGCCCATTTCTTCATGCCCCCTCCTTCCAAATCATTAAGCTATTCTTTTAGACTGAGGTTTGAATCCAGTCTTACTCCTCTTTAAAAAAAAAAAAAAAAAAAAAAAAAAAAAAAAATGTACCCATGTATATGTGAGATTACAAGTCCTGAGAATTTACTCTTGATAACAATTACTCAACTTGGCATGGTGGCACACACTAGTAATACCAGCACTTGAGAGGAGCAGGCTGAGGAATCAGGAGTCGGCTTGTACTATTTGAGACCTTGCTTCAAAAAAGCAAAAGAAGGAATTACTGCTGTTCTATGGTTAGAAATTTCAGTTTATTGGTACTCTGCTAGCCAGCCTTTCAGTACCTAACTTTAGGAGAATTGTTATTTTCATAGAATGTCCTAGGGTCATTACCCAGGAGATAACAGCCAGGCTGTATTCATTAAGTACAATTCAGAATGATAACACAATAATGATGCAAGACTCAAGTTTGAGGAGACTCTTTTACAACATGAATTCAAGGAACCTTACTAAAAGGTAGCTTTCTATGTAGCCAGGATGTCATACTCTGCTTTCTTGACAGGATCTTGCTATGTTGCCCTGGCTGCTGTGGAACTCCCAGTGTAGGCTCGGCTGGCTTTGAACTCACAGAGATCTCCCTGCCTCTTCCTAGTGCTGGGATTAAAGGTGTGCTCCAGCATATCTGAGTATTGCAATTAATCTGTGTTTTCTGAGGGTGAGAGATTTTTAAGTTCTGTTTTGTTTTGAACTAATGATTCATCAACAGGTATAATATGCACTAAAATTATTCATGTTGTGTTGACTGCTAAAATGTTGTGGGAAAAGACTCATCATTATTATGGAAGACATTGTAGTAAGGTAGAAGGCTTTGCTTAAAATGTTTATAGTCACTTGAAGACCAGCTTCGTGTGATTACAGAAACATGCAAGGTACTGGTGGTGTTTTTATTTTGCCAAAAAACAAACAGAAGAATCTGATTCGTTAGTTATTTCATTATGTTTGCATTTTCAAGTTTAAGTATATAAACAAAAGCCTGAGTGTTAACCCTTTATATAAATTGTCATGTCACAC